TCTAACATACTTTGGACATGTTGTGAGGAGAGACCGGTCCTTAGAGAGGGACATCATGCTTGGGAGGGTGGAGGGACAGCGCAGGAGAGCGAAGGCCCTTTATGAGGTGGATTGATTCAGTGACTGGGATAATTGGGATGGGAGTGTCGGAGACAGTGCGAATGGCACAGGACAGAGCGGAGTTTAAGGCTGTTGTACATAGGGTCGCTATGAGTCGCAAGTGACTCGAGGGCACATAACAACACCACCACCTCTGGGATTGCAGTGCAGCTTCTTGCCACTAGGCCACCAGAGCTCCCTCAAGCCACCTTTTCAATTGCTTCCTACGCTTCTGAAAGTTACACAATAAGGATGGCAGAAGAAGAATTGATGCCTTTGAATGGTGGTATTGGAGAAGAGTACTGAATATCTACTTCATGGGCTGCCAAAAGAAGAAGTAAGTCTGTCTTGAAGAAAATACAAGCAGGGTGCTCCTTAGAAGCAAGGATAGTCAAAGCTCATCTCACAGTTTGGTCAGGAAGGTACAGTCCTTGGAAAAAGACATAATACTGGGAAAGGTAGAGAGTCAGAGAAAGAGAGGAAGCCCTTTCACAAGATGGATTGCCACAGGAACTGTAATAACGCGCTTGAGTATGGTGGAAAGTATAAGGATAGTACAGGACAGGGTGACGCTCATTCGTATGAGTTGTCATTGAGGATATGGCTCCTAACAGCAACCACCACCACCAGAACATTGGGTTTTCCTGTTTAACTTTGTACTGTGATTTGAGTGAAATTTACAGAGCAAATGGGTTTTCCATTCAATAATGCATATAATTTTTGTTTTATCCTTTTAGTTATAGTCCCCACATTGTTACAGTCTCTCTGTCTCTCTCTCATGGCCAAGGACTCAGAACCAACTCATAGCTGACAATCCAACAGGTTTTCAGAGGCATGATAGTCACACGGGAAGAACCTCGACCAGGTGGATTAACACAGTGACTGCTGCATTGGGCTCTAGTGTACGAGGAAGTGTGAGGATGGAGGGACGGGACAAGATTCAGATCTGTTGTTCATAGGGTCCCTATGAGTCATACTCTACTTGATGGCACCTAACAACAACAACCATGCAGTTCATAAAATCATTCTTTAGAATAATGAAGACTTTGTGAAACATCACATGCATAGCATGGTTGAATTTCAAGGACCTTATGCGGAGTGAAAGGATTCAGTCACAAAGAGACAAATGTTTCTTTGTTTTAAGAGCTAGTGATCATGAGCAACAACACTCCATGAGCTCGTTCACTAGCTGACTGTCTTCTTTGGTGAAATGTCTTTTCCTGTCCTCGGCACACTGTGCAATTGATTGGTTTGTCTTTTGTTGACGAGTGGGAATTTTCAACACATTGTAGAGATTAGTCTTTTGTCATATGTTAAAGGGAGTCTAGAGATTCCCACTACTCTTTTGGAGAAGTCTTTTAACATACACGAAAATTTCATTTTTTCGAAGGTTCCAGTCACCTAGCTTCTCTTGTTCCATTTGTATGTTTTCAGTTATGTTTAATGCTCTATTTATAGAGAGACTCACCAGTTTATATTTGAGTGACAGTGAAAGCATTTCCTGCTGCCTGCCTTTGTGCATCTCACATCATCGACAACATGCAGTGTATCAGTACATACATACATGCATGCAGTACTGTAGCACATATTTTGATGATGTTATTGTTCTCAGATGGTCAATGTTGTGACCATATAAGCAACTCTCACCAACTTTCTGACTAGCAATGCCATTCTGATTCCTGAGGATAATCCAGAAGATCTGGAACCTTCCACAAGTAAAATTGTTACTCTTCCATTACTGGAGTAAATTTTTATGATCAGTGTATTTTTGAGGCATGGTTAAGTATCTGCTAAAGGTTACTGAGTCTAACCCACTAGATACTATTGAAAAAGGTGACAATCAGCTTTTGTACTCCTTCCGCCTTCTTTTTCTGCTTCTTGGATCATTCAAGATTGTACCCATGCAAGATATGAATAGATACTTCACCAAAGAGGACACTCAGATGGCAAACAAATAAATGAAGAAATATTAAAAAAATCCCTAGGTAGCAAAGAGATGCAAATTTAAACAACTATGAGATAGCATTTCACCCCAGGAACAATAGCAAAGTTCAATAGAGCAGCAAACAACAAATGCTGGCAAGGTTGTGGAGAGACTGGAACCTTGATTCACTGCTGATGGGAGCGTAAAATGGTGCAACCACTATGGAAAAGTTGTCTGGCATTTTCTTAAAAAGTTGGAAATAGAAAAATACCATTTTACCCAGCAATTCCACGATTGAAAATATCCCCTAAAGAAATCAGAGCCACCACCCAAACAGATGTATGCACATTCATGTTTACTACTATATTATTCACAATAGCAAAGAGATGGAAGCAAGCCAAGTGCCCAGCAACAAACGACAAACTGTGGTACATACAATGGAATATTATGAAGCACTGAAAAACAATGAACTCGTAAAACATTAGACAACATGGTGAGCCTCGAGGACATGATGCTGGTACATTATTCTTATTGTTATGTGCTGTCGAGTTGACCATAACTCATAGCGACCCTAGTACAACAGCTCTGAACCCTGCTCTGTCCTGAGCCAATATCACTGTCTCTGACACACCTACCCCCATTACCACAGTCACTGGGGAGAGGAGGGTTTTCTGAGACAGTAAATTACACGGGAGGAGAATGCTCATCTTTCTCCCTCAGAGCATCTGGTGGATTGGAACTGCTTGCGTGCTGGGATGCACTGGAACTCCTCCCAACTAATCCACGAGATTTCTCCAAGAGGTATTGTTGTTCAGTGCCATCGAGTATGACTCACAGAGACCCCTCTGTCCTGCCCTGCTTCGCCCTCACCATTTCTGACACACTTGAGCCCATTGCTGCACTCACTTTGAGTTGGAACCGACTCCAGGACAGTGGCTTTGTTTGTTTAGGATAACCTGAGGAGTCCAGATGGCACTGTGGTTAAGCACTTGAACCTACAGGACCCTCTTCAGGAGAAAAATGTGGCACTGCGCTTCCAAAAAGAGTCCCCGCCTTGGGGAGGGCGTCCCGTCCCGGAGGGGGCACAGGAGGAAGGCAGCTCTGAAGATCCCCGTCGGGG